AACAATTACATTTATTTATATAAATGTCACAGTTCTTAACCCAGTTCCATCTCTCGATAAAGGATAATTATAGGCATTGCCTGACTTGTCTTGCACTATAATTTTCATCTCAGTTTCGTTACATTGTTGGCTCTTCTATTCTTAAGAATTGATTGCGCTGCGATATGCGCTGCTTCAAATTGAAATTGTGTCCTTTTGATAAGGACCTTATTAGCGCTCTCGCTCGTTCGCTCGCTTTACATGGCTAACACAGTTGACTTTGGCTTGTGGCATGCCCCATTTTGGCGGCGCCACAATTCAAATTGTTGGCTTTGTCGCGGCCCCTGTCGGCCGCCCCGCCCCGCCTCTCATCCTTTTTGTCTGCTTCACATTGGCGCCAACTTGGGCGCCCGCTAGCGTGTCCTGGCTACATTTATGGCAACAGAAATGGAAAGGGGGAACACAAGAAGAGAAACCTGAATATGTGTTTCTACTTTGTTTGCATTCGCTCTTTTTTTCGTTTTTGCTCAGCTGTGGCCCTTTATGAACTGCCAGCTAGGCAATCAACGAAACGCGAACTACTAACTGACCTATCTGAAATACATACGCCTGCTCCAAATTCCACCCCGAATTCTCTAGCACCCTGCCTACCTCAACTGCGGACTACCTCAAGCTCAGCCAGTGCAATGAACTCGCTTTTGTAACTTGCATTTGGCATCTAAATGTGGGTCAGCGCTGCAGCTTCTTAGGAACTATCCAAGGAGCTAGACAACATCTGATAAAACTTTGTACAGTGGACACTCCTTTAAGTGAGAGGAAGATACTTTGGAGTTTAGCAACCAAAGAAGGCATTTGACAACATCTGATAGAACTTTGTTAAAGGATAATTTTAACAGACTAGCAGCTGCGTTTAAAGTTTTCATAAAATCATTAAAATTACAATTTTTAATTTTTTGTTCATTTAAAAATGAAATATTTTAAAATAGTTGAATATTTTTAACCTATTTTTAATTAGAAGGGAAATAACGTTGACAGAATTTGTTTAATTTGATATCAAAATAAAACGGGAAAACCTATTTCAAACTGACATTTTTAAAGTATTCTTTATGAATGGAAATAAATAACTTAGAGCAAAAATGGAATATACCTATATTTTTATAATTTCTATATTTTTATTTTTATGTCGATAAAACGTATTATCAAGAAATTGGAAATCTAAAAAGACATAATTTTTCCTATTTATCGTGCAGTCTGCAGTTCATTTCCTATGATAAATGTACCTTATTTTTTATCACTAATCAAATAAAAATAAAACCATATAGCTGCAGTATATTTCCCCCTTAATTTTATTCCTTTTCACTTGCCAGCTTTGAGGTGTTACCTATTCTTATCTCTAATTCAACAAAAAATTTAGACCTTCTCTTTGTTACATTATTATCGATAAAAAAAAACCTTAAAAATAAAACTTCTGTGCTGCCTTTTCAAATATTTGCCATTCATCGACTAATAGTTTTTTTTTTAGTGTTATGGGTCTATATGTATATAATATACATAGCGTGCACATATTTTTAAAGTCGTAAAATAATTCGCTTGTTAGTGATAGATATCAGAGCGTTGTATCATTTTCTGCTCTTATCTGGGAATGTATAAAATACCATTATTATTTTTTGTTCACCTTGTCAAGTATATGGAACATTTTAGTTGGTATTACTAATGCCAATCTTATCGTATCTGGAGTATACATATTCATGTATAATCTGACTTGTTGCATGTGGATAGCCGTTTGAGCATGATAGAGCTTTATTTTCGGCTATTTCTGAAGTATTATATTGACTTTGATAGGGCAACGGTTCTATATATGATGACATAAGAGCTAAGCACAGAAGAATTTATATAATATATATATTATCAATATAAGTTTCCTAGTAAAATGTACAATGAAAAGTAGCTGCCCAGTAACAATATATTATTATTTTGTAATATACATAGGTAGTTTTTTTTTTTTTATTTTTTTTAATAATTATTTGCTTAATTTTTTGCAGAGAGTACAGTAGAAATAGCTGGCGGAAAAATCAATATTTGTGTTACTTTTCGAATAGAACTTGTATATATAGATAAATAGAATTATTTATCGTAGTATATCAAATAACAATAATAATAACAAAACAAGTAGTGTTACGATATAAAATAAAACTCCGAAGAATAAATTACTTTGCCCCAAAGCGGAGATGCCGAGAAACGTGTTCTCTTGTTTCTATTTATTATAATATATAATATAAATAATCTTGAAAACATTTCACAGCTGTTCAATTTTTAAGTAAAAAAAATGAAACTAAGATTAGAAATAGTTGTGCTAAGTGCGTATACCCTTGATATGTAGACACATTATTTACCATACACATGTATACTATATATACATATGCTGTCCAAGTACAGCTGGATTTTGATAAGCTCTAAGCAGTAAACCTCGAGCCAGCTGCATATACAGAGCGGATTCCATGTAACAATTCCGGCCGCTCTTTGTTATTTCAGTTGCTCTGCACACAATCAAAGATAGCATCAATTTGTAGCCCAGGCGAATAACGTGTGTGTTCGAGTTTGTCGCAATTTGTCGCTGTGCGCTGTGGGCGTCAGGACTTCCACTGAATCCTGCCTGATTCCTGATTCCTTCCTTGGCAACTTGTCACACATGAAACTGCCTGAGGCATGCAACCAGCCAAGCAATGTTTCCCATAGATCGTTCCCTCCCTCTGCTGTGCTGCAGCTCAATGAATTGTTGGCATGCGTTTAGCTTGTCGATTGATGTCATTTCGGATACCCTGTAAAATTATTTTCATCGCCAATCTAAATTATTTGATGATCCATGTATTTGGAGTTTCAATGTCCATATAAATAAATGAAACCTTTTTCATTCATAATTTATCGTATAACTTGTTCTTATGTTCTTCATGTTATTAAATTCAAATTTCCATTTTACGTTAACTTTATTCGTAGTATATTAGAATTAAGTATATAATTCCTGAGGCATTCATTGTTGATCTCCAATATAATTAGACCTATCATATTTTTTTTGGGTATAAGTTATCTTCCATATAATATAAACTTCCATACAAATTTTATATTTTATATATACTCTCTTTTATTCAACTTTATCGTAGTACAGTCTTGGTTCCTTAAGAAGCTTATTGAAAATTTTATTTGTAGTTCTTTTATCCACTGTAAAAAACAAAACAAAAAATAAAAAATTTTACGATATAACATTTTTTTCGTTTTCTCACAATTATTAAAAAATTTAGAAAATGAAAACGTGAAGAAGATTCTGAATAGATGTCATGATGTGTGCATACTTTTATAGATTACTGCATGTGGTTAAAAATGTTTTTTGTTAATTTCCACATTCATTTCAACTAAAAGCAGTTAAGGTTCATGCATCTATTTTATAATAGTAAAAATCCACCATAAAAATCCACATAATTTAATGGTAATACTCCATTTCAGATATGTACATATACACAATCACTAATAATAATTCTCGTTTCCCAACTTAAGAACTATTCTATCCCAAGGCAACTCCTAGTCGATCATGCCCACTCCTTAAAAACTTCTCTTCGTTCATTTCGCTCAGTCCTCTTTTCTTCGCCCTGCACTCAAATGACGTGCTCATCCAGGCATTCAGGCTGCAACTCCCAAAAGCACTTTCCTATATTGTTTTTCCATGCGAGGCTTTTCATCTTAGAAAACGTACAAATCTTTCATTCGTGTCTCCATAAAATGAAAGCAATTTTTATGCCTTTGGGGAGTTTTTTTTCTCCTGAAATTTTCCTTTTAGTTTTTTATTTTTGCTGCCAACTTGTCACATTTTATTTATTTTTGGCTTTGGTAGGGAAGAATTTTCATTTACTTGCTCTTTTATTGCTGTCTAGAATGTTTGAAAAATATGTTTTAGAATTCCTGGTTGCATTTTATTTTTATGGAATTGTGTAAAAATAGCATTAGAAATGTATTTGAATGAAAGATTTATTTTCGTTTTTGGCTGAGAATTTTATGAACGGAAATTTCTGTCGATGACTGCGAGAATTAGCTTGGAGTTCTTGTCTATTTAGTCAAAATAATGATTTATGAGACTTTTTCAAATATACGTCAAAGTTTCTGATAAGAAATTCTGTAAATTAGCTGAGTGATGAGTTGAAATATTTATGATTCAATTAAGCTTAAAATATTTGATTTATCAAATTTATCAAAACTCAATAATCGCTTACCATATCTGTATATGTATGTATATATATAGCCATACCTATCTGTTTCCTAATTCAATTTGTCGTTTCCATTTGCAACTGTCCTGAACTGACATGAAAATAGTCTTTTAATTGAATTGCCAGCTGGACTACCCCTAATAGGGCGAATGAATGAACACTTTTCCTTCTTCTTCGCTCCCTCGGCCTCAGTTGGGTGGCTCGTGGGTCAGCGGCAAGGCAAGGTAATTCGCAAAGGTGCAAACCCAATGCCTGCAGCAAGATTACAAATGAAGTTGGAAATATTGTTGCAATGTGCCCGGGTGGGCAGCTGAATGGAATGAAACTAGATGCCTGGCTAAGTGGATGAAATGGAATGAAATTCAATTATAACTTTGTAGTTTCTCGTTGCAGCACTGTGAACTAATAAAAGCATTACAACGTAGCTGACTTTATGAATTAGATTAAGCTAGTTAAAGCTATTAAATGATAAGCTGCAACTAGCAGAAGCGAGTGCGCTTGAGGCAGATGGGATCGACTCGATAGACTGAGCCAGATTACGAACTTTTGTAAATCCTGAAGCATCTTAAATATTTAATAAACAAATTTGCTAATATTTACTAAAAAGATATAGCCATATATATAGAGAGTCATATATGCTATAAAAAAATTCTCTCTTTTTCTTATCGAATTCAAATTTCACTTTTAGAATAATTCAAACTTGGTGAGACTTGAAAAACTATTCCACACACATAACAAACCAAACCCTTGCGTTTATTATCATGAAATATTTTTTTTTTTTAAACATAATTTCCGAATCTCTTCAGTCAATCAGTTAAAAGACCCAAGCAATTCATTACTACGAGCTACTTCTATTTTGTAATTTCGTATGTATTTCAATAATCCCGGTGAAAGCGTTGTGTGTGCGAATATTTATGGGAACAATTTCTCCCAATCGCTTGATATATGCGAATTTAGGTGAGTGTTGAACCAAGAACTTCTGAATCAGAAGACTGATTCTTCGATCCATAACAAAATCAAATAAATAGATAACAGGATGAACCGTCATGAGAATATTGTGTGCAAGGGCTGCAGTAAGGTGGACTTTACGGGCCGCTGTTATCGTTGCCTGAGCTGCCAGGACTTTAATATGTGTGCGGAATGCTATGATAATGATTTTACCACAGCTCAGCATCCCTTCGATCATCCGGTCAAGTGTGTGTTCACGCCGGCCGACGTTGAGCTCTACTTTGGTGGTGAATATCTAAACGATCCGCCGCAGAGCTATCGATGCCCCTACTGCAAGCAATGGGGCTACAATGAGTCCACATTTCTGGAGCATGTCTCCGCCGAGCATGTGGGCGCCAGCACACTGCTGGTGTCCACCATGGTCACCCTATTCGAGCAACAGCAGGCGGTTCGCCTGTTTCTAGAGGACGAACAGCTGGCCGTATTCGCCTCGGCCGCAACGTCACGCAACGAACTGATGAACCGCAACGAGGGCTCGCTGGATCTCTTCCTGGAGCCACTCAATCCCAATGGCAGCTATCAGCGAGAGCATCCAATATCGCCGCTAACGTTTCGCGTTGCCAAGCCCGGCGCCGTCGAGGTGGCGCCCTGGGTTGCCGATGGCAGCACCCTGACGGCATCGAACAGTAACCACAACGTCGACAATAATTTCCTGATACCGGACCCAGTGCGTCGTCAGTCCCTATTGGATCGTGCCCGGCAGCGTCTCAGCTTCGATAGGCCGCCGCTGCCGGTGCAACAGCAGCAGCAGCCGCAGCATCCGCAGCAGCATCATCATCATCATCAGCTGAGCGGCCATCCTACGCTCTCCGAGATGATGAGATACAATGAGCCGCTGCCCACCAGTCGCACCAGTCGCCCGGGCAACTTTCGCATGGTCGCCAATCAAGCGCCCAATCAGCCAACCAACGGTCGCACCATCAATCTCTTCGGGCACAATTCGGCGACGGAGAATATGCGACGTGCCTTCTATCCGCCCGGCGACATTACCCGGACGCGTGCCCAGCGACATCGAGCACCGCGCATACAAATGGAGAGCTTCCCGACCAGCGGAGTGCGGCAGGTGCATGTGCAGCGCTTGCGTGGCGGACCCGGCCCGGGCCCGGCGCCGGGACCCAGTCCCGGCCAGCGTCTGGTCGAGTTCAGTGAGCTGACGCACGGCGCCAACGAGTTGCTGAGCCAGAATATCGGCTCGGGTGCGGTCATGTTGCGCACCATCGAGGAGGAGGAGCCACAGCCACAACAGCAGCAGCAGCAACAGCAACAACAACAACAGCCGACGGCTGAGGCCAAGCAATTGGACCAGGAGCGTGAACGTTATCTGTGCTATCCGTTCCTATCGGCCACATCGACTGCACCCTGTCCACCCGATGAGCAGATCACATTCTTGGCCCAGCGCGCCGAGTTCGTGGCCCAGCTTCTAGCCTCGGTGCTCTGCGAGGAGGAACTGACCGCCGGCATGGGCGGCATGGGATCGGCTGACGGCAACGACGACGACGACGACTCGCTGGACAAACGCAGCCTAATTAAGCGATCGAATAGCGAATTTGTGGGCGCCGGCGACTCCAAGCTGGATCTCAAGCGTACTACGTCATGCTAAAGCTCAAATCGACTCTCGTCCAGTTCTACTTCGTTTTGGTTCACTGTGGCAACAGCAGCAGCAGCAAAAACTTTCGTTGATATTCTTTAACAAATTAATATGCACAACAAATTTTTGTAATTTCCCATTGTCCGATTTTTGGAGAGACCAGAGAACTCTTTATATATGTATATTTATTTATTTTTGACCATGCGGCCTTTAGGCGCGAGCTTTTAAAATTTGCAATTGTCGTGAAGTCATTTGCGTCGTTCCATTTGGACTTTTAACCAAATAGTAGTAGGATATATTTTACGTGATCAAATCATATAAAGACGCTGAATAATAAATGTGACTGAATACCAGATATTTCAAAATTAAATCGATACGTTATCGATAAATGATTGTAACATAGCATCAGTATAAAAAAATAAAATCGACAAGTCAAATGTGGACAAAGAAAAATTTGAATGCGAGACAAATATTGCAACTGTATAATATCGATAAATATTTTGAAAATTTAAATGGGCTATTTCAACAGCTGTTAAGAGAAATACCAATCGTATATCATCTCTTCTTCTCAATGGCGGAGAGATTGATTAATAGACTGATTCTTCATAAGTGAAATGTATAGATTTTTAAGAATCACTTCTTAAGGACGATCAACTTAATAGAAGTTCAGACCTAATCGTGGAGTGGATATGACATCGATAGTTTTTAAATTTTCATTTGCTCACAGATCATTACAAATTTAGCTATTTAGGAACTGATTAAATTATTCTATAAAATTTTTAAAATTATTTTATAAATGCAAAGTTAATACAAACACGAAACGATTATAGACTGTTATCGATAACATCAAATCATCGGCTAAAATAAAACGAAGAAAGCTACTGTGGGCTATTATCGATAACATTAAATCATTGATTAATATTGCTAAATTATTCTTGGTATTTAACATCGATTTAATATCGATTTTATGTTATTGTTTTTAGTAATCGATAACATATCGATACTGTAGCTAATAGCTGTAGAACTAGTTTTATAGATATATTATCAAGCTCTTATCATAATATAACGTATAGAATATAAACTAATATAAAATAGATCAGGCCAAGTTTAAATGCGCCCATGTTGTTATAAAAGACCACGCCTTACAGTCCCACCTTTACACCAACACAGCAACAACTCTCCACGAAAAGTGTCATTAGAGCCGCTGCCTACAACTCAAGCTCACATAAATAGCGTGCTTCTCGAGGGCCAATTAAAAAGTCAAATGCCTCGCGGCCTGAAAATGGAATTTTCTTGGCAGCTCCGCCAACATTTTGAGGTTGACCACATTCTCGGTGGTCGCTAAAGAGGACTCAGCAAATTATTTTGTAAATACCAAATGCAAAGCGAAAGAAAACATTTTTATATATACTATATATATATGAAAAGGGAGGGATAATCTGTGAACAGAAATTAAATTTTTAAATTGAAATTAATTGAATAAATTGAAGCGCGTCTGGAATGGAAATCCCTTTGAGTCAATCAGGCGTGCCATGCGCTGCAGAGGCGTTTTAAATGAGCTTATGGGTATTTGAAATGTAGATATACATATGTATGTACTGAGCATCATTCTGATTGCAAATGATTAAATTTAATGGATTCATTTAAGTTTATTTTTTATTATTATTATAATGTTGTGTTTGACACGCGTTAAGTCTTATTTTGTTTGCTATTATTCATGAGTGCTTATAAATATTCGATATGCAATAACCAATTGCTTATTAAGATTCAAAACAGCTGCCCCTTAGTCAGCCAAAAGGTATGTGTGTGTGTGTGTGTGTGTGGAGAGCTGTCACGCCTTGTTAAAAGCATAAGTGTGAAGAGTTTATCCAGAATGGAGGTAGAGAATTGAGTAGTGGTATTTTTATAGGTAAATTGAGGAGAGCTTACAAAAAAATAAGATGAGTAGATGAGCACATACCGTTTTCATATAAGCACTTATCAAGCGGATAAATATACCAAGCGGTTAAATAATTCATTTATGGCTACTTGGTAATATGGAACTAGGCAAGCGCAAGTTCTATTCAAATGCCTTAGTAATGTGTTATATACCTAGACTTGTACTAGATTTCATCTATAAATTTGACAAGCAAATTAACTACCAGTTAAACTTGTTCTAAAGCAGCGAAAATTTAGTTGTTCTAACATTGGACCCTAAAGCCCTGAGAAAATTGTATCAGATTATATTGTTAGAGGTATTTAACTTTTCAACATCATGTCAAATGTGTCATGAAGTTCTGAAGGAGTAATTTGTCAGTTGATTAGCTAGATCTAAGCTTTAGCTACAGAGACAACAGTAAAGTGTTGTATGTAAGCGAGCTGGCCGTTAAGTAAAACTTGGCTCTCGATTGACCACATTTATCATGTGTCGCAGCGCTTATGTAGCTATAACACTAGGGCGGTTTCTCGTTCTCTTAGACACTTCCGCCTGGTAACCCAGCGCCATTGACCCTGCAGCCACTTGGGCTTGGTTTCATGCACTTGACTTTCGCACCACCGAGAGAGTGACCTTCGGAAAGTGAGGTGGGGCGGGGTGAGCGCGGCTGGGTCGGGTTGGCATGTTTCAGTGACTAGCCCTAAATTCGATATATGTTTGTATGTATGTAGGCCACCCCTGTTTGGGGCTAGGCAAACATTTACGCAGTTTGTGACATCAGCGTCAACGGCATAATGAAGTGAGGGAGTCCATTAGAGTGGCACAAATCTGATAGTCTCTCTCTATCTCTATCTCTCTCTTCCTCTTTCTCTTTTAGATATGCTGCCTACTATTGGAAGGTGTCGCGCGAAGGTCGTCGCGTCTATATGGACTACTACTACATGGAGAATGGCAAACAGATCTATGGCGTGCCCATTGGCGGCATCGGGGGCGGCAGCATTGGGCGTGGCTATGCTGGAGAATTCTGTCGCTTTCAAATGCGCCCAGGCATCTATGAGTACAATGTGGTGCATGCGAATCAGTTTATAGTAACCATCAAGGATCACAAAGGTTGCACCATATTTCAGAGTTTGCTCTCCCGATGCAGGTGAGTTGGTTACTAAGAGAACCAAGCTTCAATCGATCTATTCTTTATCTAACTTATAACTTTATATATAATTCTTAAAAAATCTAACTATATCTATTATTCAATTTGTCTACCACAAATATCAATCTATATTCAATAGCATTTAGTTTCATCTTCGTAAATATCTAACTATATATACATATATCCTGTACTTCAACTATCCCAAATATCTATCAATCTATATTATCTAAATGAAAATTGTACTTCCACTTCCCACATTTAGTTTCATATTCAATATATTGAATCAAATTTGTACTTTAATCATTTAGTTTCATATTCGTAAATATCTAACTATATATACATATATACTGTACTGCAAATATCTATCAATCTATATTATCTAAATGAAAATTGTACTTCCACTTCCCACATTTAGTTTCATATGCGACAATATCTAACTTTATCTAACATTCAATTTGCCTATCACAAACATCTATCAATCTGTATTTACTAATCAATACTGAACTCTTAGTCAACCATTTCATAATCACAAATATTTGTGCTTAACAGATTTCTGTTTTATTTGTTCTGCTTTATTGCTTCGCACTTCTCTTGCTTTTATTTACTATATTTGTCTCTGCTTTTCTGCATTGGCTTTGCGCTGTTCCTAATATGTTTTTCATTCTGAAAGTTGTTTGTGCCATTTACGCAATATTTGGGATATTTAGTTCCATTTGAATTGTTAACACAAGTGATATCTAGCTTTTGGGTCTTGTTCAACTTTAATCGAGTGACATTTATTACATGAACTGACATTTGCTCAGCTTTGATGCTCGTTCACGTGATGCAACAGAGAGTTGATTGGCTTTGTCAAAATCTGACTGAGAGCAATAATTTTTGCTGGTAGTTTTTTCTTAGATGGAATACTTTCTAGAGTAAATCAGTTTCTACGAAAATTATATACTATAATTTTATATATATTAAAAGCGTTGCAAATCATGTTAAATCATACAAATCTTGTAGGTAGAAATCTTTGATTTCGCGTACTGTATACATCTTCAATCCAAAAATTTAAATTTTAAACGAAATTGAATTCTATTAACACAAAACTGTTAATGTTATACTTACATTAACAATGTTAAATAAACTCAATAGCTTAACAGTAACAGCACCAATTAACCCGTGAGGCTTAACAGTAACAGTCTGTTACAGTTAACAGTAGAGTTTGTTATTATTAATGTTAATTCGCACGATTGAGCTTTAGTAGGGTATATAGTGCTTTATTAATTGAATTTTAAATCCATGAAATAACTCGAAATATTATATCACAAAGCAGTTCTTAGGTAACATTAATGTAAGCTAAATAACATGTAATCTCAATTAGCTCAACTAGTAATTAAAAATGATTATAAAATTGTATTCCAATCGAGTTTTCAGCCTATAATTCCTGTCATCTATTACTTTTCAGTAAGTGCATAGCTGACCCTTATCAAAACTATAAAATTACTTTATAATATTTAGTTTTTACCTGTATATAACAGTCTGTCCTATATACAATGTTTACATCTGAATACATGCTTCACAGTTTCTCCTACTTCTTGGTTCTATATAGTTTATAGTCTCTCCCACTTCCAATATAACACTTTCCTAACCGAAACTCTTTTCGAGATACTTGAAATGAACACCTTTCTCCACACTCTAACACTCTAACGAATGCCCCCATAATAATAACACGGATAAGTCTCCACTAATTAACGTTCAAATGTCAACGAGTTTTAATTAGAATTTCACAGTATAATATTTCGTTTTTTCTCTCATTTTCGCTGCACCTGACAACAAACTGTAAACAAATACAACCATGCTCACGAACACGCGGAAATGTGGAATAAACAAATAAAACTAAATAAAAATTGCGCTTCCATATGGCTTTTTGCTTTTACTTTTGCTTTTGCTTCCGGGCTGTCTGTCTGTCTGTGTGACTTTGGTTGTGTGTTTGCTTTTGCTTTTGCTTCTGGGCGCACGCGCGTCGATCAACAACAACAAACCATATGGCATCCATTTGGGAATGTGTAGCACGAAATCATTCAGGGCAAAGACAAAGACACCAAGCACCAACAACAACGATATTGATGCCTCGACCGATGAGGCCGAGGCACAGAGCACTAAATGTCAACTGCCCCATTGCAGCTGCAGCCGGAACCGACAGCCGCTGAGCACTTGGCACTCGAATATCGAGGACTCACGCTGCAGCTATACGGGTCTGTATCCGCGCGCCTGGACCGAATACGATCTCTCGCACTATGGCGTCCGTTTGATATGTCGCCAGATCTCGCCGGTTATACCGCATGACTACAAGGAGTCGAGTCTGCCGTGCGCCGTCTTCGTGTGGTCGGTGCAAAACGTTTGCGATCAGGAGCGCAAGGTCTCCATCACGTTCACCTTCAAGAACGGCACGGGCAACAAGAAGCTGGATGCGGAGGGCAATCCCGAATCGCAGCTCATCGCCGAGGGCAATGCCAAGGGCGTGGCCATTAGGCAAACAATTGCCGACATGCCCTGCAGCTATAATCTCGCCTGTCGCGTGCTGCCCGAGATCAGCATAACGCGCTGTCCGCAATTCGATCCGGCTGGCAGTGGGGAGCAGCTGTGGGCCCAGCTCAAGGAATACGGCCAGCTCAACGAGCAGCCCACGTCGGAGACGCTTAAAAGTGGGTTCGATTGAGATCAAATGATGTCTATTCAAATCCCTTTCGAATCCAATTCAAATCTGTCCTTTTCTCATTCACATTCACAGCTAAGGACATAGGCGTCGCTGTCTGCGCTCAGCTGGCCCTCAAGCCGCAGGCATCGCATGAGCTGGAATTCGTGCTGGCCTGGGACATGCCCAAGATTCAGTTTCCACGCAAACTGCAAACGCACACGCGCTACTACACCAAATACTTCGATGACAGCGGCGAGTGCGGACCAAGGATATGCGAGTATGCATTGAAGCACTATGCCAGCTGGGAGCGACTCATCGATGCCTGGCAGCGGCCCATCCTCAACGATGAGTGAGACCACACCACATATACATATATACAATATATTCTTAGCTAATATATCTGTCCCATATGCACAGGGGCCTGCCTGATTGGTACAAGTGCGCCATATTCAATCAGCTCTACTACATCTCGGACGGCGGCACAATCTGGCTGAAGTGCGACTCTTCCTTGGGCAACCAGCTGGCCTTCGATGATCCGCGCTTGGCCTACGGCCGCTTTGGCTATCTGGAGGGACATGAGTACAGAATGTACAATACGTACGATGTGCACTTCTATGCCTCGCCCGCTCTGGCCCATCTCTGGCCCAATTTGCAAGTCAGTTTGCAATACGACTTCAAGGATGCGATTGGCGCCGAGCTGAATGATACACGGAAAATGTTGTACGACGGAAAAGTGATGCCGCGCAAGATCAAGAACTGTGTGCCACACGATCTGGGGGATCCCGATGAGGGTAAGTAGTTGCAGTTGGGCTTCGCTAAATAAATTGCCTACTAATTGAAAAACCCTTTCACTTGCACCTATAGAACCCTTCACGCTCATCAACTGCTATAACATTCACGATGTCAATGACTGGAAGGATCTCAATACAAAGTTCGTGCTACAGGTTTACAGGGATTACTATGTGCTCAACGAGCTGGCCCAGGCGCAGGCGGACAATGCCAGCAAATTCAGCTCAATCGAGTTCATCGACAAGGAGAGCCTCTACGAGCAGTACAGCCAGGACAACAATCGCAAGAGCTCGGCGGATGGCAAACAGCGTAGGCAGAAATGCAACCATATAAAATAACAGTTATATATCTATATGATTCCTCAACCTTGCAGAGAATCGCAAATCTGCTTCCATGTACATCAATGAGACGAATGGCAAGGTTTATCTGATGGATGCCATGGTCTATCTGAAGTCCATGTACGGCGCCTGCAAGGCCATCATGGAGCGCACCATTGAGTATGATAAGGATAACGACGGACTCATTGAGAACACCAAAATGCCGGATCAGACCTACGATGCATGGGTTATGGATGGACCCAGCGCCTATTGCTCCGGCCTCTGGCTGGCTGCACTGCAGGCTATGTCTGTGATGGCCACGCTCTTGGATCAGCCGAACGACTGCTTGCGCTACCAGGACATATTGGAGAAGGGCAAGCGTTCGCTGGAGGAGAAGCTGTGGAACGGCAGCTACTATCGCTTCGATTTGTCGCACAATCATCGCGACACGATCATGGCCGATCAGCTGTGCGGCCATTGGTATTTGAAGTCGTGCGGCTTTGATTATGAGATCTACCCGAAGGAGAATGTGCGCACCGCCCTGAAACGCATTTACGACAACAACGTGATGGGCTTTCACGATGGCAACATTGGCGCCGCCAATGGCTTCATAGCAAACGCCAGCGAACCGTCGAAGCCGGGCCATGTGGACAACAGCAACATTCAGGCGGAGGAGGTGTGGCCAGGCGTTGTCTATGCGCTGGCCGCAACCATGATACAGGAGGGCATGTTCGACGAGGCCTTCCAGACAGCCGGCGGCATGTACAAGACCCTGTCGCAACGCATCGGCATGAACTATGAAACGCCCGAGGCGCTCTATGGCGAGAAGCGCTATCGTTCCATTGGCTACATGCGACCCCTGAGCATTTGGTCCATGCAGGTGGCCTGGGAGCGACGCCGAGCGCTACGCGACTAAGTCCAGTACCAGTACAATCTATATGATCTACAAGCTGAGTTATCTACACGCTACCAAACCAAAGATATTTCCTAAGCTAACACACACAAAGGTTCTTAGCTTTTAGTTACTCTGTTTTGCGGTCGCAACGTTACGAGCTTACGATTCAAGAAAAGTGGTATTCAAATGTCTAAACAATTAGCTTTATATATTTATGTATTTGTTAAAAACTAAGTTCAATCCTTTACCTGTTCTCAATGTCTTCTCTAGCCACTAAGTTTAAGCGAAACACACACACACACATACACTCGCTAAGATCTATCAAGGGGCACCGGCTTAAGCGCTCTGCTCTGTTCCAAGTACAATTATTGAATGGTATTCATCCAAGCACAAACCGTATTTAAATGTTAGCTAAGCCAGTTGTTTACAAATTTACAAATATTCTGCTGGCTGCATTAATTATTATAATTATATATATATATCTGTATTTATGTCTATACAAATTAAGCCAATTATTCAAATATTTCAAATGTTGCTGTCGAAAATAAAATTCATGAAAGAAAACTATGGGAAAAAGAAATATTTTTGTAGGCTATTGGGAATTTCCATGACTCTGAATGGTAAGTCAGTTCTTAATATAAGCCAAGCCCACAATCTGGAGTTTACCTAGCTAGATATTCATTTAAAAGGGATGGATTTTAGAGAGAAGTAAGCATGAGGCTTCTCACTCTCCCGAAACTCGGCACTCGCATTCAAAATTTGAAAACCAGGAAGGACATTTGCAAATAAGTTTTTAACTTATTTCTCATAGACGATTTCAATTTAGAAGTAGTCTGAATTTTTCATGTACATTTCTGGCACAATTTACGACATATTCTCCAATTTTATAAACATATGCCATAATTTTAAAACAAAAATCAATTTATAAATGCAGACATATCATAATCCGATCTAACTAATCAGGAAACAGCTTCTGCAAGACTAACTCTAAATAGCCAAAGCTCGCCTTCCCATAGATATTGAGTTTTCCATTTATTAACAGTCTGAATTTGTGTAGCAAGCCAACAATTTATCGCAGTTTAATTCAAAAATAAAAACTATATACATATATAACGCTAGGCAATTCAGTGGCCCTTTAAGATCAACAGTTAAAATTGTGGACCTACTTACGGCTCAACTGCTGTTGATCTGCTGTGGCGCACCATGCTGACTGTTCCATTGCTGCAGGAACTTTTCATATTCCCGTCTGCTGCGACACAGGATGACCAGCGTGGAGGGTCGACAGCCGAGCGACTGCAGCTCCTCTACGCGCTGCTGTGTGGTCTTTAGGCTGTGGCACAAAATCCGCGGCACTTGCGCAACTTCAAAGCGTGTGAATTTCGCAACGTCTAGCAAATAGTCCAAGACCTCTTTGATCTGTTGGGAAAGTGCAGTTGCAGTAGTTTATTGATTTACGAAAAATGAAGCAATTCTTATCTATTGGCAAACCTTTGTAACGCGCACTGTGTGCACCTGCGGATGTCGATCCATAATTGCCTTCGTTTCGCTCACACTGAAGCCCAAGCGATGCGCCACATACTCCACCACGGAGGAGAATTCGCCCAGCACCTGCAGCTCATCCAGGGAGAGTTTTAGAGAGCTGTGAGAGAGTACAAATATATTGAACGGTTTTATATTAAGCATATATCCACTGTATCGGTAATGTGTATATCGATCTTCTGTGTAATGTAAGGGTAATGTTAAGTATATGTAAAGTTTTTGCTGCGAGCCTAGGAGCGCAATAAGAAATATGAATAATATAGGTATAGCTCAAAAGTCATTGTTCGCCGTTTCCCGATGTCTATAAATCAGTTTCGTTCACTTATACTCTGAGAAAAGATTCAGAGAGCAAACGATTGCATCGGCTTTAACGAACGATCACACGAATAGTTCAACTCTTGCTCAGGGTGAGAGCAATCGTATAGAGCGAAAAGAATCAAACGATGCCAACAATTGATCGGACAGACATCGCAAGGTCAATTTGGACAGCAACACTCCCAAGAAACCAATCCCATTTTCAATATATTACAGACTCAAATATATCCCTTTCGTTTACCGTTGCAGTATAGGTTCCGGGCAGCGCACCATCCAAGGCATTATCTTATCCTTTTTCGCACGTTGGGCGCGCTCCAGGCGCAACTCCACAGCCTTGGGTGCATAGCGAAAGGCCCACAGATCGCGCAGTATGTTAATGGGAGACACATTATAGTTGATCATGTGCTCCAGATTCTTCTCGAACATCTCATATGGCATTTCCAGTATGAAGAGTCGCTTCGACAAATATTTTGTGACGATCTCGGGGCTGACGCCCAGCTTTTCGCTGATATAGTAAACGCGATTCTTTTGCGGGTATTCGTTGGTCTCCGCATTCAAGGTGTCCACCAGCTTGCGTAGGCGTGGCACTGTCAGACGCAGAAAGGGCAGGAAGTGATTGATGTCGAGCATGTGCATCGATTTGATCAGCTCCAGCTTAAGTTCCAGACGGTCTAAAAAGGGATTAAGAATTATAGTTTTGAAGGAATTCAAATAATTGATTTATTCGTACGCTGATCGAGCACCAACAGCCAGGGATATTCCAAAATGCTTTTCTTGGTCACGCCCTCCAGCAGCAGCCTGTCCAGCGCATTGGTCAGACAGCGATTGCGATAGCTGCGACGCACTTGCTCATCGCTCAGAATGCGCTGCGCCTCGCCTTCGGTGAGCCGAAAACGTTCGCGCATCGCAGCTATTAGAGCACTTGCGCGACTGCCGCTCTCCAACTCTGTGCGATACGGCACATACTCATTGTCCGCCTCACTGGCTGTGGGCGTCGCATGGTTCCTGATGCCGGCTGAGGTGGTGGCCAGTATGGGCTGCTTTTTGTTCAAGCGACTCTCGCAGGCGTATTGTGTAAAAAGCGCGCGGCTGGCATCTGTGGTGCGAAGCAAGCGCACTGCGTGTGGATATGTTTGCCGCTGCAGTCTGAGCGCGCAATCAAAGCGACGAGTTAGATTGCGCAACATTTTAGAAATATATGGTAAAAATAATGATGAAATCGTAATTATATTAAACACTAAAACTGATACAATTTGTACGCGCAGAAAAAGTTACCGAACAGCTGAGTGTACGGCGTTGCCACCATGTTTGTCTTGGTCCGCTTGTTCGCTTACTTAAGCAGTCTGGTCACACGGCGCATGTATAACAGCTCTGCCTTAGCCTCTTTGTATAAACTGGCGCGCAATTTGAAAATTATTCAAATATAAGCTTTGCATATGATATGGATCAATGCTGCTTATTTAATGAAATAATTTTATTACATACTTTTTTATACGATTTTTTTATTTGTTTTTCATATTGGTTTTTATTGTGCAAAAATACTGTTTTCCAACACAGACATGCGATAAACTGACCGTTAAGAACAAGTTCAAACATGTACATAAATCATGAAATATGTATCACAAAAATTCCATTAGCCTTCAAATGGACTAAATAATAAGAATGTTAGAAAAAAATAGCAAGAACACATTCGGAAATAAAAAAGTTATAAGTAGTTTTAAAAACAATCCAGTTTACTCCACATCAATGTCCTTGGTGACGCGACCCACCCAGTAGACAAATCCAGTCTGCACCACTGTAGCCATGAATTTGACATTGCCCTTGTAGCCTGCTGGTGGGATCCAGTCGAAGGTAACGCCGCTCAGAGGGCTGCCCTTGACGGCGTTCAAATGGGTCAAGGAATCCTAAATAAATGTTCCAAGATTATTATTTGCATATGCTTCGATTATTTATAGCTATATTCTCACCTGTGGTCCCGAGCAGTCTAGGGTTTGCGAGTGTTGCGTGTCCACCACCTTGAACTGACCCACCACACGATTCTGACCATCGCGCGCTTGAATCAGGAAGCCCAGGAACTGATCGCCGCCCAGAGTCAGTGTCAGCTTCTGATCGCCACGCACATGTGAGGGACCCGAGAAGCTATATGGCGGCTTCTTGGTCTGCAGCTCAGCTCCGTGCTGTGGGGTCAGATCACGGCAAGCGGCCTTTGGTGCGCCCTCTGAGTAGGCGTGCACGCTAACAGCGAGAAATGCGGCAATTAGCAGCAAACGGAACATGGTGTCTGCAGTAGAGAGAGGAGGACACGGTTTAAATTTAAATTATTCACTGTTGCTCGTAAAATAACATTATGTAATTTGCTTAAGCCTGTGCTGGCCTCTGTTGATGATAACACTAGTCCGCCAAGGCTAACATTACAATTTTATTTCCTGCTGTTAAATATCATTCTCATTTGCAGTTTCATAGTATTTGCAGCAATGTTAGCCCCGTTTTGCATAAGCTGAAGCGGCTATTCAAAAAGCTTTGATCGGTTATGTTAACTAAGAGCTATGTGTATTCAAATGTACGAAGAATAACTGCTATCAGCTGCAGTTGTCTGCTTAACAGTCAAGCTACTGTATTCCGTTCTGTTATAATTAAACGCTTTGTCCCAAATCGCTGTTAACCGTTTAATGCATATTTGAATTTAAAAGCATTGCATTGCATTGGCCTGTTTTTGCTTTGTTTTTTTTTTTTCACTAATTAATTAATTAAATTTGCAACAATGTGTGCGACCTTTTCTCATATGTGAGCTTTTTTTATTCATTTTCCTAGCACTGCCCTTGGCCAGCTTGACCAGCTGGCTGTATAAATGTTATCTCCATATTGCATTTACAATTTATGTATGAATTAAAAACCAGAATTCAGCGACAAGTTTCTATATTGATGCACTTTGGACAGCTGTCGTCGTTTGGCCTTGAATATTTGGCAAATGAAGCCAAATCGATAGGCGGCTATGTCAAAGTCGGGTTCAATTAACGCACAAGAGATATTTTTAAAGACTTGCCAAAATTAGGAAATTTAAGCACGCCCCGTCCGTCCATAAATCGTAATCCTATAGACACATACACATATAATGTATAACATAATAATTATCAGCTTGGCCAAGTTGCATTTGCATGCTGCTTACAAAAGAGCTTTAGAAAAAAAGATAAGAGAGCAAAACACGAACCATATGTATAACTGGTTTTTGGAGCTCTACGAAATTCAAAAATAAATTATAAAGAAAACCAGTTTACAGTACATTTCCATGAAAGTGCGATTCCATATCAACTCAAATCGAACTGATCATTCAGCTGGGCCTTTTGTGAGCAGAAATGAAATAATTTATTACGTCGTGACGGCTGGAGGAGGGAGGGCGAAATGTTTCAATTGCTCTAAGCATTTCCTGAACGTCATTTCAAGTTCAAGGCAACGAATTCGGCTGGCCTTTTATTAGTTTCCTATTAAGCTACAATCAATGAACTACGAGCAATTACCGATCTAAAATGCACAATCGACAAGGAATGTTCGACGATAAACGATATACGATATACGATGACCCATATGATATCTACGATCCTCGATATACAATATGGGATGATCGATATCCTACACAGCTCATAGAATCTACGACTTTCAATATACACGGGTTTACGATCTTCAATAAGCTTTATAAGATGTACGATCTACAATCGTCAATATAGTGTAGGACTTTAGCTGAAATAATATGGACTATCTACCATACACAAATATCGATTGACGATATATGTACGATCTTCAAACTACGATATACGATTTATTATAACCTACAGATTTACTACTAATAATCGTTGATGTACTACGCACATTCTATGATCTATGCTCTACGATCTTCATAACCCAAGGTATACTATATAAGATCTACAATCTTTACGTTCTTCATCAACCATGCACAAACGAAGATCTATGTTTTACGATCTTCGCTCGACGCTATACGGTCTGTCTTCAAAGCAGTCCGTTCGCACGCCAACGCAGTCGAGCACTAAAGACCTTGTCTGAGCGAATCATAATGAAAAATAAAAAAATAAAAAAACGAAAAAAGTGTCAAGCCAGTTTGTCGTAGTACTGAGCCCAGCCTCAACTCAGAGATTTACATATACAGATATACCAGATGTATATGCATACGTATGTTGTTTATATGTTAAAGTTCAGCAGTTTGTCTAGCCACATTAAAGATAATTTGTCTTGTGTTGCCATTGGCTGTTTATTTTGTCAAAAAAGAAAACCGGTTGCCTGATTTGTTTAAATAAAATCTCATCGTTTATTTGCCGTTTGCCAAGCACCGAAAGCCTCAATTATTGGATGTTTTGTAATGTTTTGGCCAAAAATGATAATAAATAAAAAATTATGAGATCGTTGAGGCTTGAAGCAAACTAAACCTATGAATTATGGAAGACTAACAAAGCATTGTTTAATAACACGCAATGCTTAAATGCGAGAAACTGGGAAAAATATTAAACAATTGATTAATTATATATAGGTATATAATTGCTTTATTAGAAAAATGCCAACGCTTGGCAAATAAATAATAATAAATATTAATTTTATGAAGTTGGCTTCGGAATTTTTTTTGAGTTAGGTATTGAACTGCTGTCCTGATAAATATTTATTTTTGTTTGTTATTTTTATGTTAAGTATATTTATTAGTATTATTATAATTTTTTTTTTATATTTTATTTTGCTTATTTATTTTTGAATAAATCCTACATTATTTATATAAAAGCTTCAGTACTGGGTCTAGTAAAAATGTATAAATAATTTATTTACAAACAATTGTATTTAATATTTCAAGCACTACGCTCTGATCCTTCTATATTTTATATTTTCTGTAATTTTTGTGGCACTGCACTATATAAATTTTTACCTACCGTTTTTAGATAGACTAAAAATCCACACGGCACAAAAGAAAAACTTCAAATGAACTGAAAATTCTACCACAGCTGCCTATTTATACCAAAATAAATAAATATATATCTTAAAGCCGGTCCGAGCTGAAACTATAGGAAACAATGGCTTTGTAGACCGGTCAGCGCGGAGCTTTTCAACCAGTAAAGCTGAGCTTAAATAAAGCTTTGCTATGTATATTTAAATGAGAACTGTTGCGCTGCTTCAGGAATACCAGAGTCGAGTCTATAATGCCGCTAAATGCTGACTAATGSCTCACTCTAAATAAATAAACAAATGCCAGGCAATTGCTAAATAACGGCATTCTATTTTCATAGCTGCAAATTCGCCAATAAATGTCAAATATATTTGGATTGAAATGTTAAATAGAAAATTTATGGGCTAAATGGAATTTGATCAAGTTCAACCAAACTTATTAAATATAGAAATATTTATTTAATTTTTCCACAAAAATGTTGTTAATTTTATATAATTCCTGTAAAATTTACTTTCTATAAAGCTTCGCAAAATTTATTATTTTAGTAAAAATTGAAATATATTTCTTGTATATTTAATATAAACTTTCAAGTTCCAAATCAAAGGTGTCTATAAATTTACATTCAAATTTAACGGGCTAATCTACTTACTTTTCAACGACCCGGCAGCGTTGCCACACAGTCACATTTAGCTGTCATTTTTAAACATTCGTTGAGCAAAGGCTAGAAGAAAAATCAGCTCTTGTCAAATAAAATAAAAGGACAATCTAAACTAAGCCAACAAATTGACGATTTTTTTAAATATCAATAATAATTTGAATTTTAATTTATATATAAAAAAAAGAAGAAAACTATGGGAGCTGAGCAATCGGCTTTGTTAGCTTGCACTCAAACGGGCAAGCCGGAAAGTCCGCTGAATTTGGAAAATTCTAAACAATTCTTTCAATTGTATTTCGATAGAATGCCTGAGCCTAAAACAGGACCCGTTACAGAGGCGTTGCTGCATTTGATAAAGAATGCACCACGCCCGAATCTAGGTAGGTTTTAGCTGTCGCTATAAATTCGATCTAATCAACTAAAAGCTGTGCCACTTCAATTCGTAGAGTTCGGGGAGCGCGCCAACTGGGCGAATCAGCAGGAACAGGATTCGGGCTATGAGAACGATGAGCTGGAAATGGAAGAGTCTAGTGAGACAGACGAGGAGAAGCCGGACATCGATATGATCTCCGAGGAAGAGGAGCAAACAGTTGATCAATTATCGGAGAGTGGAATGAGCACGGCTTCGAGTTCAACTACTTATGATAACCACAATATTGATGAGAGCAACGTTGAGCTGATTCCATTAGAATTCGTCAATCTGCAGCCCTTCGAGAGTCTCAATATAGATGATCCGCAGCTGGAATTCGAGAGGGAGTTCATAATAAGCATTGCCGACATGAATGAAGAATTATCATAGTCTAATTTTTACATAAATTAAAACATTATGTACATGTTTCATCTCCTACTTAAAGTTAACCCTCTTCAATCTTAGGGATTTGATGTTTCTCACAATGCCTCGGCGTTCGTCTCGATGTTTTTTCATCTCCGCTTCACGTTTTTTGGCCATGTACTGGGCTTTCTTTTCTCTGTTCACCTCAAAGGTCATCTGGCGATTGCCCAGGGAACGACCCACATTCGTTACATTGCCCTCCAGGCTGGACATGACGCGAATGCGATCCTGCAGGCTGGCCTGTTTGATCCGCTGCTCTGCCTCGCTGTTGCCCCGATCTGTGTCCAGCGGCGTTAGCTTGAAGCTTGCGCTATTCCTGGGTGCTGGATTTTTTATATTTCCATTTCCATTTGTTATTGGAGCCGCATAATCATCTGGACCATCAGCCTCTTCATCGTCCTCCTGCTCTGCTTCCTCCTCTTCATCGCGCTGTCGTTTGACCTGTTTGTATGCCTGCTTCATTTCCTTGACATACTCGCGCCTATCCTCATCATCCGAGGAGGCGTCATCGCCGCTGCTCGCCTCGCTGTCACCATCGCTCTTCTCGAAGCCAAACAGATCCTCATCATTGTCACTATCCTCTCGCGGCTGGGCTTCCTCGGCATGCAGCTCGGCAACAGGCGCCACTTCAATACGCTGCTTGATCGCCTTTGCCTTCGATTTGTCCAGGCGATTGAGCACTGGGGCGAGCAGTCGATATTCCTCGGCCTCCTTATTAATGGCAAAGTCGGTGTTCTCAAACATGGCCTTAAAACGCGAGTCCTGCAACAAGCTGGGCATATTGCGTTGCTTGGCGCTGTTCGAGGGATTCGCCTGTTCGTCCATAATCTTAAGCGCCAGCTCTTTGTTAACCTTGGGTAGCTTGGACTCAATTTGCAGACGCGACTTGCGCTCACTTTCGATCTCCTGTCGCACTTTCTCCTTGCGGAAGCGGTCGAAGGCAAATGGCTCGACAACAGCCTTGGCTTTGTTATACAAACGCACGTCCATAAAGTAACTAAGGATGGAAAACAATTTAAAATACAGAAAACCAATTGCAGTCTCAGTGGACCTACCCATGCATATAACCCTTGAGCAGATTGCTGCCTATGAGGTGCTCCAGGCCCAGTTCCTCCAGTTCCTTCTGCGTTACGAACTGATAATCGTCGTAGACATTCTCCACCACCTCCGATTCAATCTCCTCAGTTAGGTTGTCCAAGAAACTGCACCAACGCGGCGCTGGACCCATAGCAGGCACGTAGTATGTCAACATTTTGACATCTTCCTGCGCCAAGAAGAACATGCCCGTGTCGGGAATGGTGCAAAAGTCATTGAATGATGATGTGGACTCTACATAGGCAATCTGTTTGCCGGTCTGCTCATCCCACAGCTTCAGAGTGGCCTCATCCAAACTGTAGACGGCATTCTGTGAGGGATTAAATGCCAGCCGTTTAATGGGCACCTTATTGAGATGATCTTTGATTAGTAGTGGTTGGCGCGAGCGTATATCATACAGCAGCACATGTCCCGAAGCCGTGCCCACGCCCATTTGCAGTCCATTGCGAAATTTGAGCGCTGTGACCGATGGAAACATTTTAACGCCCGGCAGTTTCATGGCCACATCCAAAGTGGCGCAGCGCTGTTTGGTGCGCGGATCCCACGCCTCAACTGTTCCCTCTTTGCTGCCCACAGTCAGTAGATGATGCTCGGGATTTACTTCGCAAGCATTGAGACAGCTGGCATCCGATTCATACGGCTGCAGGAACTGGCCACGCTCCAGATTAAGACGATATATGTCCTATGGAAAGGGAAATCTTTATATAGATATACAGTATAAGATTGTCATAGTCTTCTATTACTCACCCGACCCACACCCACAATGAACATATCGCAGCTGGGCTTATGGTACTTCATATCACGTCCAAAGCGCGGTATGCGCAATCTATAGTGGCGTCCGTGTGCCGCATGGATTTCCACATACCGATCGCACTGCAGAAACACCAGCTTGCTGTAGTCATCGCTGATCACCTCGAAGGTCGTCACTTCCGAGTCGAAGCAGCGCTCAAATTTGATGGACAAATTGCTGACTTCAAAGCATTTGACACGTGGCTTATATGTGCCCGTTGCCAGTATGAACTGTTGATCGGGGCTCATGCGTATGCTCGTGCAGACACCGGGCATATCAAAGTCTTGGATGAGCTCAATCTGCCGCCTCGAGTCAACCTTCTTCATCAGCTGTGAGCGCTTGCGGCGATCGGTGAGCCACTTAAAAAAAACCAACATTAATTGAATGCTGCACAAGTGAAACATATTACTACTTACATCTGGCACCGATTTGCCGGCGCTCAGGTTATAGATTTTCACATCATTCACTTCGTTGACAAACATTACTGCATTTTAAAATACAAAATCGCGCATAAACAAAAAAGGAACACGTGCGGTATGACAGTGCTGTGCCGCCAACTAACTACGTCGCTTTACAACACCATGCAGCAAGTGCTGCACAGCTGATAATTTGATTACCATGTATATGTACACCATTGAATAGTCTGGCAACGCCATAGAACTCGTTGCTAAATTTGCAAACAAGAAAACGCAAAAGATATTTGCTGCTAGTTGCCTAGCTAAGTTTTCATCGTTGAAGATTAAAGTTATATAGTCTAGTGTTGTATATATATTCCCGCATATTAATGCTAATTGTGCTGCGCTCGAAGACAACACAAAACACGACTGGCATCGCCTGTGCGTGATTGGAAGTATAAACAAATATAGGAGCGATACGCATACACACAGAAGCATTTCAAAGCCCTCCCCCGTGCTCGTTGTTGCAGTCCTACATTCCCACTCCCTAGTTAAAGCCAAATTACAGAACAAATAAAATTAAAGAAAAACGGTGAGTAATATGCTGTTGTTTTTGCTGTTGAGCCAATTAAAATCGCGCTGCATTTTTTGATTGCGTCTTTAGCTAATATGAATGTACGTAACTGTGGGTGTCGATGTGTGTGCATGTGTGGCTGTGTAATTGTATTAGTGTCAGGGGTATGGTTGGGGGCCGTCTGGGAGTACCGTAATGACAACTTTCCCTTATACTACATAAAGTACTCGCTATGTTGCTGTTGTTATTGTTGTTGTTACTGTTGTTATTAGGGCAGCCCAGTCTCTGCATCTTCCTATCTCGCTCTCTTGCCACACTGCTCTTGTAATTGATATTAGTCTCTCTGCTTTGGTCTACACCCCTCAAAAAGTTGTTGCTGTTGTTGTTGTTGTTGCGGCAGTGTCCGTTACCGCGCCTTGTGTTTTATTTATTTTTATCAAATAACGGTGCTTTAGCATGCAACAGGGAACATTCCCACACACATGAGCACATTTTCGCATATATTATAATAATTATTTGTTACAATTGAAAACCTCTTATCACCGTCTCATGGTTATATTTAATTCTGATTTCTATTTTTTCTTGTGATTCAATATACGCCAAGTTCTTATTTATCTTTGAAACCACATTCATTCATAGCTGTGCGATTGACTGATAAGACGAAGGTCTATAATCTATATTATGTATGCACTTGACAATAAATTAATATATTTTTTATTGGTTGTTTAATAGACAAACAACATTTAATAGTAAATTATGAAGATCATTAGAAAAGAAAGAAGAGAATAGATTTAAATACATCATTTATTTAGATTATATTCTCTATTATATATTCTGTCCGTTTAGAAAGAATTCCTCTCAATCCATGAATAATATTTATCATAGACAAAAATATTTAATTATAGTTAAGAACTAGGTTTTTTTAAAAGAAATTTCTCTCTCTCTCTCTCTCTCTCTCTCTCTCTCTCTCTCTCTCTCTCTCTCTCTCTCTCTCTCTCCCTCTCTCTCTCTCTCTCTCTCTCTCTCTCTCTCTCTCTCTCTCTCTCTCTCTCTCTCTCTCTCTCTCTCTCTCTCTCTTAGCATTCATTATTATATTACCACTATAATTGCTCTACAATAGTTTCGTTTATCTCGCATTCTTGTTTGTTAAATAGGCAAATAGAAGCTAGACTAATGCTGGAATATATTACTAGAACTATAAAGAGCTTGAATTGAGCAAAATTATTGCCTGATTTAGAAAAAATATGATGGCCTTTAAGTCCATATTCATAAAATTAGTCAAGATTATTTAGCTTCCTATAAACACACATTTCAAATTCTGATAGCTCGGCATTCTTACCAAAAACCTTTGCTCATTCCGACTTGAAATATGATATGCGCACTTGGAGCGTTATTTTGCGACTATCTGACAAACTTTAAAGTAGGGTCGCGGCACTCCAACTCTTCAAACAATGAAACAGCGCTCGGTTTTTAGCTCAGTCAACAGACAAACTGAATGGACGGACGGCTGTTTAAATATGAGGCACTAGACCCACAATTGGGAACAGCCCCCGACCACGCTGGCAACATGCCACAAACAAAAAAAAAAACAACAAAAAACAGAACAAGTCGTCCAGAAGCGACACTGAAACGAATTAATGCAGCGTTACAATTGCCTGATAGGCAGTCAGGTCGCCAGACACCTAACTTGTGCATATAGGCACATATATATAAATTAATAAACATATATAGTCCATATAGTCGCAACTGGCATTGACGGAAATGGATGTAAAGCTGCACAAGATGCGTGGGGTTGTTAACAAACTCTACGAACGCATAGATTACCTAATAGAAAATTGTGCGAATGGCCCAAAGTAAACTTTATGCCAAATCAATATTTACTAATCAAGTATTCCTATATCATTTCACAGGTCCCAACATGACTGCAGCACCCTATAACTACAACTATATATTTAAGTACATCATCATTGGTGACATGGGCGTGGGCAAGTCCTGTCTGCTGCATCAGTTCACCGAGAAGAAATGTGAGTAACTGGAAAGTCCTCGATGTGAAACATCAACTAAACTGGTTTTCCCATCCACAGTTATGGCGAATTGCCCGCATACAATTGGCGTTGAGTTTGGCACACGAATCATTGAGGTAGATGACAAGAAGATTAAATTACAAATATGGGATACGGCTGGTCAGGAACGTTTTCGTGCTGTGACACGTTCGTATTATCGCGGTGCAGCTGGTGCTTTAATGGTTTACGACATAACCAGGCGGTGAGTCATATTAGTGAAATTGCAAACTTAAAATATTCCTACTAATTAACTCCCATCTGTGCAGCTCGACATATAATCACTTGAGCAGCTGGCTAACCGATACGCGTAATCTCACAAATCCCAGCACGGTGATCTTTCTAATTGGCAATAAATCCGATTTGGAGAGCACACGGGAGGTAACCTATGAGGAGGCTAAAGAGTTTGCCGACGAGAATGGTCTCATGTTTTTGGAAGCCAGCGCCATGACGTAAATTCTGCACATCATTTATATATATAAATTTCTAATATGATACTAAAGTCATTTTGTAATTTGAAACTAGGGGCCAAAATGTGGAGGAGGCGTTTTTGGAGACGGCACGCAAGATCTATCAGAATATTCAGGAGGGTCGCCTGGATTTAAATGCATCCGAATCGGGTGTACAGCATCGACCATCGCAGCCGTCGCGACCATCGCTCAGCAGCGAGGCAACGCATGCCAAGGATCAGTGCTCGTGTTAAATGTATTAAATTTCTCTAGACACACACACACATACACACACTTATATACATATATATATATAGTTATAAAAATCGAAATTTAATTTTTAGCGCAACTCGTAATCATATTGATTTCTAATCTATCTAAAACAACATACAATGAGTAGAAAACAAATCACAAGCAAACAAAAGAATACAATGTATGTATGTAGTTAAATGATTGGTTTAAGTCGTGAAAAAGTGTGAACAAACAACCAAAATATATGTAAACGTCCCCGACATTCAGATATCTGTGTAATATCTAATAAGCTATTGATAGAAAATTGAATAATCCACATTCAACTGTTGCATTATGTTCTCATTGCAAAGAAAAACAAAAACAAGTAAAAATGAAATCTATGAAACTGTTTTGATATTTACAAATGAATGTGCAAATGTGAAAGTATACAAATGTTGGCAAATATCTCTTATTTCTATGTATTTACTTTATGCATTAAATCATTTTACACATTTTCTTTGTTCTCTATAACACAATTTGTTATCAATACTATGTATATATTATAATATTGTATTTGTAACTTCTTTTATGCTCATTTCGTTGAATGTTGTGTAAGCGTGCAAAAGTTCGAAAGCGAGCAATGTTATATGAATATTAAAGACGTATTAAACGCATCATGCTATAGGTAATAAAGAAAAACAATATTTATAAAACCCTAGAAACAGAAAACAAGTTTTCCTAATCATTGCACTAACGAGTGCGCGGTGTCTTCACCTTTGTTAGGTGCGCGCCCAGCCAGGTGGCAACGCTGTAATCAATAATCTAAGCAGGCAAAGTTTAGCTGTTGATGAAGTCATGGAGAAAATTATGGAGAATTATTTGGGCAGTACTAGCAAACAAGTGTTTCAATATTCTTCAATTAATTATTAAAAAATTAAAAAATTACCCAAGCAAAATGTTTAGCTAAAAGTTTCAACGAGTACGCGTAGACCAAAAGTGGCAGCTCCATTCACGACGGCTCAGTTAAGCAATTTAATTGAATTTAGTTATAGCATGTTATAATAAGCCAAAGATGGCAGCATATTTGCTTAATTTAAAACAAAAATAGAATTGAAAAAAATTGTTAACAATTTATATATCGAATTCAAAATCAAATTGATTGCGCGCCTAAACACAGGTGGCAGCGCTGTTATCGATATCAACTCTTGTATGCAAATTAATTTGTTTTAATTAAGGCAGCGTTGGTAAGCCAAGAGTTGCGTTGACGACATGGCATAAATTCCGGTTTCTGTGACCTCGCTACTACGATGATATCTGCATTGATCGCCAAGTACTCATAACACGCATATTAATCCACCTATGATGCAAATTAAGCGTCTGCTATGTAAATCTTGCACCCTCGGCACGCTGCTAATTGCAGGAATATGGATGCTCGCGCTCTTGGCCTATATGCACCATCTGCGTAGCTCCATTCCGGCGGCTGGCTGGCGTTTTAATAGTGGTGCGAATGCCACACCCCGAGCCGAGCTGAGCTACCAGGCCCAGGTCACAGTTGGGTGCTCGCCCGCATCCCCGCTGAACGCCACACAGAAAAGTGGCACAGTCGATCCCTTCGAGCTGTTGGGTGTGGTGCGCAACAAGCAGGATAAGTACATACGTGACATTGGCTACAAGCATCATGCATTCAATGCGCTTGTCTCCAACAATATTGGACTCTTTCGGGATATACCCGACACGCGGCACAAGGTGTGCGAGCGTGGCGAGACGCTGGAATCGGAACAGCTGCCTCAGGCTTCGATTATCATGTGCTTCTACAACGAACATAAGATGACGCTGATGCGTTCGATTAAGACCGTGCTGGAGCGTACACCCGCTCACCTGTTGAAAGAGATCGTTTTGGTGGACGACAACAGCGATCTGCCCGAGCTGGAGTTCCATTTGCTGGCGGATCTGCATGCTCGCCTCAAGTATGACAACTTGCGTTATGTGCGAAACGAGCAACGAGAGGGTTTGATACGATCCCGCGTCATTGGAGCACGCGATGCCAGCGGCGATGTGTTGGTTTTCCTCGACTCACACATCGAAGTGAATCGCCAGTGGCTGGAGCCGCTGCTGCGTCTGGTCAAGGCAGAGAACTCAACGCTGGCGGTGCCCGTCATCGATCTGATCAATGCAGATACGTTTGAGTATACGGCCAGTCCGTTGGTGCGCGGTGGCTTCAATTGGGGTTTGCACTTCCGCTGGGAGAACCTGCCGGAGGGCACGCTCAAGGTGCCGGAGGATTTCAAGGGACCCTTCCGCTCGCCCACCATGGCCGGCGGCCTGTTTGCCGTGAATCGTTTGTACTTCCAGCACATTGGGGAATATGACATGGCCATGGATATCTGGGGTGGCGAGAACATTGAGATCTCGTTCAGGGTGTGGCAATGCGGCGGCTCCATCAAGATTGTGCCCTGCTCTCGGGTCGGCCACATCTTTCGCAAGCGTCGACCCTATACGGCGCCCGATGGTGCCAATACCATGTTGAAGAACTCACTGCGTCTGGCTCACGTCTGGATGGATAAATACAAGGAGTTCTATCTGAAGCACGAGAAGGTGGCGAAGGATTACGATTATGGCGACATCAGTGCACGGCTACAGCTACGCGAGCGTCTGCACTGCAAGGACTTTGGCTGGTATCTGAAACATGTGTATCCCGAACTGCGTTTGCCCGGCGATGAGTCGAAGAAGTCCGGCGCGGCGCCCGTTTTTCAGCCGTGGCATTCGCGCAAGCGCAACTACTTGGACTCCTTCCAGCTGCGGCTGGCGGGCACCCAGCTTTGTGCAGCTGTGGTGGCGCCCAAGGTGAAGGGTTTCTGGAAGAAGGGCAGCTCCCTGACGCTGCAGATCTGCAAGCCACGGGCGCCCAATCAAATGTGGTATGAGACAGAGAAGTCGGAGATTATATTGGATAAGCTGTTCTGCTTGGAGGCGGCAGCCGACACGCTGGTGATCATCAACAAGTGCCACGAGATGCTCGGCGATCAGCAGTGGCGGCACACCCGGAACGCCAACAGTCCCGTCTACAACATGGCCAAGGGCACCTGTTTGCGTGCCTCCGCCGCAGAGGAGGGTGCTAGCATTAGCTTGGATCTGTGCTCCAAGGCGGATGGCGTTGGCGGCGCCTGGGACATTGTGCTGATGAAGCAGGAGCAACAGCAACAGCAGCAGCAACAGCCAAAGCTTGACAAGCAGTTGTGAACCTTACAGGTGGTTAAAAAATGCAATAATTAGACTGAATTTGTCTCTATATAGATATGCTATAGATAATCTCCTTGATAACGGTTTATTAAGTTTCGAATTTACAGTATTTTTTTTTAGCACAAAAATGTTTGGCTTACATCAATCAATGAAAAAGTTTGGCATAGTTGAAAACAAATTAAGTATTGAAATGTTAATGTCTCCAATATACATATATACATATTTATGTATATATCAATTAGTTGTATAATGGTTATAGTATGAAAGTAATAGTAGTATTATCAATATTCAGTATAAATAAAGCTTTCGTAATTTATATAAACAAAAATTGTATTGATTTGCAAAGAAAATATAAAATAGTGGCAAGGCCATGGCAAAACGGTTAATTACTTTGCACTGTGGAATTCCGTTTTTGCAATTACTAATTGCATTTAGAAGTAGGAATATAAATGTAGTTTTCAATATCGTAGATGCATTGAAACATTCGTGTTTGCATTTCTAAGAAATCTGTATACATTCATGAGAAATCTGTATACATTCATATAATCCCAAAATAATAGGTCGTTCAGAAATCACAGCTGGCACGTGTCATTCCACTATTTTGCGAATTTCTGCTCACAGCTGGCTTTTGGCACTGTCGTTTATCAACACTGGTGCAGTCGCGCGTCGTTCTTCTAAAGTGGCGCGTAAATTGTTAAATTGTTTAAAACAAAGTGCTTAAAATATTGTAAAAACCGTTAAATGGAAGGCAAATCAATAGTGAGCAGGCAGGAGCCGGTGCTGCGCCTAGGTAAGCAATAAGAAACAACATAATTTATCCATCAATTATAACTAAAACCCTCCGCTAACAGATACAAATGCGCGTCGCAATTTTATAAAATTCCACAACAAACTCGGCGAGGTAAGTGACAGTTGTTTGGCTCTGATTTAATTGCCCTAATTAACATATTGGAATGTTGACTGCAATAGAAACCGAGCACAACGGTGCGATTTTATGATCAAACCGATTGCTATACGGTGCACGGCAGCGATGACTGCGAACAGGTGGCGAAAATTGTTTACAAATCCACGGCGTATGTGCACAAGCTGCTGCCGGACGACAAACAGGAGACACTGCAGTTCGTGGCCATGTCCAAGCCCAACTTTGAGCTGGCCGTGCGTGAGCTGCTGCTCGTGCGCAATTTGCGTGTCGAGGTTTATGTGAAACGCGACGATTGGCAGCTGGAATATCGCGGCTCGCCGGGCAATCTGTTGCAGTTCGAGGACATCCTGTTCGCCAATAAGGAGGTGCTCGTCGGCAATAGTATTATTTCGCTGCAGATCAAACTGGAGGGCGGTGCACAACGGCGTGTGGGTGTGGCAGCCGTGGAGCAGAACGACTGTCAATTCCAGTTGTTCGAATTTGTGGACGATGATTTCTTTACCGAACTGGAGGCCACTGTCGTGCTGCTGGGGCCCAAGGAATGCCTTTTGCCGGCAGCCGATGGTGAATATGCGGCTGTAAAGGCCATGCTGGAGCGTAATGGTGTCATGATCACAGTGCCAAAGCGGGGCAGCGCTGCCGAGCGCAATGATCTGCTGCAGGATCTGAATCGTCTGCTGCGCTTTGCCAAGGGCCAGCAGGAGGATGCAAGCGGGCTGAAGGAACTGCAAATGCAATTGGCAGCCGAAGCACTGCGCGTGGCCATCAGGTATCTGGATTTGGTCAACGATGCCGGCAATTTGGGGCACTACGAGCTCAAGCAGTTGGATCTGAAACGGTGGGTAGACTGAAAACTGATAAATAATATAAAAATATTAATTAATTGAAATAATTCTCTTGTAGCTTTGTTCATTTGGACTCTGCGGCTGTGGCCGCTCTCAACATTATGCCCAAGCCGGGCACACATCCATCCATGCCCTCGTATCGCTGGCAGAGCATATTGGGCGTCTTGGAT